AGCTCTCCATTCGTCGAGTTTCCCCGTAGCGGGAGGAAAGTCAAGGAGTAACTGCGCGCGCGCCAGGGCCTCTGCTGGCGTCAGCGGCAGTGAAACTTGCACGAACCGCGACGCGCTTCGACTTCTAACCATGTCAGAAGGAGCTCTATCACGGTCCCGCGGTCGCACGCTGTTTTCGCCAGTGCTTTCGTGGGCGGGCAGGTCTTCTGCGTCCCGGGAGCGGCGCTCGGGGCTCTTCCCTCTGCGGTTAGCGGGGCGCGGGGTTGAGAGAAGAGCGGATCAAACAGATAGCACGCGGTTCGTTTATCCAGGTTCGGGCCGCGAGGATGCGTAAAACCCTACTCCTGCTTTGGTGGATGTATATTTGTGTTCTTGGGCTAGCTATGGGGCGTGAGGAGCTCCAAAAAGCCGAATCCCTCTCCTAGTCGCCTCGGGCCTCCTTTTATAGGGAAAAGGGGTTGCCACAGTGGCACACAGGAGGTGGAAAGGGTACAGTGATGCGAGGTTATCCTTCGCATTACATGACAAGGTGCACTTAATGCGTCTGCTTAGGTGTCCTCTTACTTTATCGGGGACGGGGGCGAAGTCCGTTCCGTCCGTCACCGCTCCTCCTCGTGTCGACATGCGCCCTGGCCAGCGATGCCCGTGGTGCCATGTAGGCAGGCAGGCAGCTGAGGTGGCGCAGTGGTGGGATCTTCATGAAGATCTGCATGCCGCCACGCAGGTGCCAGCCCAGTTGGTTGGGTCGGCGGCTGCATGCGAACGGCGGTGAAGACTTGGTCGGAGTGGGCCTGATGGTGGCCCTGTAGATGTCCTCGGCAAGGGCCTTGCCGGGGCCCCGACAAGGGTCTTGTCGCGGCGCCTGCTGTCGTCCCCGGCAAGGCGCTTGCCAGGGGTCTCGTGGTCTCCCTTGGCTGGGATCTTGCCAAGGGTCGTCGTCTTCTAGTGCTCATCTGATCTTGAATGTTTCTTCACAAAGATCTGCATGCCACCACAGAGGTGTCTCCCGAGCCCTTGCCCCAACACAGTGGGCCATGGTGGGGGCCGTGGACTCAAGGGTGACTCGCTCCGTAGGCGTGGGGCGAGCTGCCGCGGCAAGGGTCTTGCCGGGGCTGCTAAAGCTGACCCCGGCAAGGATCTTGCCGGGGGATCCCGCTTCGTCCCTTTGCTCTTCGTGGTCTTGGACTTGGCGTTGTTCCAGTTACCTTGGGCTTCGGTCCTACCCTGGCTCACCTCCCTTGCCCTGCTTGGTGTGGTCGCGGGCACGGCTCTGACTGCCCGTGCACAGTTATAGGGGTACAAAAAGTGTACCCCTCTTTTTGTACACCGACATCTGCTGATGTAGGCGGTGCATAGAGCTGCAAGCTGAAGCGCCACGTTAATCTTCTGTTTACATTCTTCCCAACGGTTTCATAGCAAGGACAACGAGTTCAGGATGCCGCGGATCGGAAGCCAATCAGGGAAACTATAAGAGCTATATGTTGAATCGCGTAGTTGCCTTCTTGACTTGGCCTTATCCTCTCCTTCCACCGGCTTAACACCGGTGGTTTGTTCGCCCTAAACACGCCTCAAACGCTCGGGCGGGCTGTCCGATCACTGACCGGTCACGAAAAATCGACCCAACCGAGCACCTCACGGGCCTCAAACGTCCGGACTGACCGGCACCCCTCATAACCAACCCAAATATGAGGCGAATATGGAGCGGTTCGGGCGCGTCCGCCACGTCGACTTGGCCCAGCCTGCCCCACAAATGTCGCTGTCCGGAAAATCCCAGACCGCAGTCAATCCAAACTCCACTTCACTCCCTTTTCCGTCCACCCCATTTCCGAACGCCTCCAAACGCATCCGATGACCGGCGACCGAAGCAGCCTCCGGTGGGGACTCCGGCTCCAACGACGACTGGTCTAGCCTGCTGCGCGGCGGACCCCGACGGTGTGGAGGAGGTCGCTCTCTGCATCGCATTGAGGCGTTCGGTCGTCGACCCTGGTGGATCCGGCAACGGCGGATCCACTTCGTCAGTGCCCGGCGCCCGTCGACACAGTGCCGGTAACGTTGCCGGCCCTTTCCGCTCCGAGTCGATGTCCGCGCGCGAGCGTGCCGGTCGATCCTGAGGTAGCGCTCCTCGCTTCTGTCATCCGCCGCTCACTCACGACGGCGGAGACGGATGCGCGGCGCCTCCGCCGCAAGAATGCAAAGGCGCTCCTACTCGCCATCGAGTCGTCGGAGCGCGAGGCAATAAAGGAGGCGGCGGCGAAGGCGGAGGCAGCCAGCCATGCAAAGGAGCAGGACCGCTTGCTCCGCAGGCTGTCGGGCATGAGGTGCCGCTCCGACTCGGACATGATGGACGGCTCGACCTCCAACTCCGACGAGGACGCGCCTCCGCACGCCGACGCCTACACGGAGGAGGGGCACAGCCACACCGATGGCCGGAAGGGGAAGGGGCCGGCAAGGAAATGGTAATTTCCTCCGCCCTTCCTCGTTCTGTTTATATTTTATCTACATTTCATAAGTTTGTAGTATGAATTTGCACTGTCCGTTGTTGAACTCCGACGAATCATGTTTCTTTTGTCCGGCTAATCCGATGAACTACGCTTTGATCATGTGTTTTACGTAGCGTTGCATGAATTGCATGGTTTTAAACTTTTGGATATGAGGGACGCGAGTGTGGAAGACGAAATATAAGGTGTGCCCGATAAGTGTCTGCAGACGCGTGCGCAGGCGTTTGAGGGGTGTGATTTTCCCGATGCGGCTGTAAATGCTCTAATTGTCTGAGAACTCAGAAATCGAAAAGGGCATCTCCTACTGTCTTGAAAACATATACTTATCTTGAAAAAAAAAGGAAAAAAAAAAGAGAAATGAGGTACGCACAATCTAATGTGCTCTGACATGTTATGCGTACATATAAGTATAATGCTTTTTTTTTCTAATCTACGAAACGACTTGTACCTTTCAATAGGATGTCTTTCTACGAACATTGCACACATTTCCATACAGTTTCATCATCATCACTACTCCACGTTTGTTATCTTTGAGTTTCTTTTTTCTAACGTACAGATACCGCATAGTTTGTTTACTTTCAGTTACTTTTTTTTAAGAACCTAATCAACTGGACAGGATTTCTACGGTTCATTAAGAAGAAAAGAAAAAAGATGTCTCTCTGCAGACTAAGGCGCGATGAAGTGTTGGAGTATAAATGCATTTAAGAAAGGTATGTGCTTTTCTTAAGACAGAGGTGGGCAATGTGGACCATATTGCGGGTTAAGTCCAAATAATTAGCCTTGATATTTATATATCAGTAAAAAACATTTATAAAAATCCTATGATCTCATGAATAGACCTTTATCGTCTTAATTCCTTGCCCGATCAGCTTAATCCATCGTCTCACCGATCAGTTACATTCCGGCCGGCCCCAGCCCAAGAAATCAACAAAATCGGTCTTCACAGAGGACTTCTTCGTCCACGTACAAGCCAACAAAACCTACGTCTCCCCGCCCCATTCGGTTATTGACTCGTGAGACATTGCCGGCCGGCCGGCTTGCTTTAACCAGTCCACAGTCATCAACCTGACCCGATAGAGCCTAGATTAATCGCTTTCGAATCAGATCAAGGTAATCATCCACGCTTATTATTCTACTCCCTGAGCTCCGAGAGACCGCCACGTACGCACGTTGACTTTTTTTTAACATCAGTACAGACCCAAGCGCTCATATACACGCGCATACACTCACCCCTATGAACGCACACATGCACACCCTACCCCTATGAGCACCTCTGAGAGACTGAGCCGGCATATCATCTTGAAATTTACGAAGTCACCGTAAGCGTCTCGTCGTCGACGGGAACGTCTCCTCCCACTAAATGCGCATCGCCGGAAATCCGAGCACCAGGACTTGAACCCTGGTGGGCTGGGGATACCACAGTCCATCTAACCATCCAACCACAGGTTGGTTCGCCGCATTGTTCTCATCGCTCGAAACTGAGATTACGTACGTACGTACGTGGAGCTAAGTACCCTGCGAATCTAAGATTACGTATGTGTGAGATTACAAAAATAAGGATCAAATCAAAGGGTGCATGCATGTTGGGTATACCGTTGAAAGTTCCTGCATGCATGCGCATTGCTTGGGAGGGGAGGGAGATCATATAACAGAATCAGTTACAATAGTACTGCTGGTTTTGACCAGGAAAAGCAGTGAATTGAACGTGGATAAGGTCGAACGCATAACAAAAAAGATGCTCATTAAATGCAGTCTAGGGCATGGGGTCAATGCTCAAGCAATCTAGAATCACACACATCAAGTGTAAGCTACGAAAACTCGGCTTGAAGCCCTATCTGGACGACTTCTCTGCGTGTTCTTTTGTCCTTTGCTTACTGGTGATTGTGTCCCTTGCTATGAATTACAGTATTCGCCGCCCATGTTAGTGATTCAGTAATTAGCAAACATCAGAGTAGAAACATAGTAGCATTTACGTGGAAACACCACGAGAGTGCAAGGCACGAAAAGGCGGCGGTTTTGGCATCGATATTACCGATAGCATTTCCAAACAAAATTCTGTTTGCCATTTCCCACTATTTTACTTTTTTTTAGAACTTACTATTTTTTCCTTGTATATAACCATATGCACCAAACAAAATTATATAAGATCACACCGTATTTTCTGCAAATTAATTTGACCGGTCTCCCTTAAGATCATTGTAGTATCACATACAGTATAAATGTACCATGCAAAAGAAAAAAAACATACAGTATAAATGTAACTTCAATCCATTTACAGCAAATATCACATCCTTAATTAAAATTTGCTTATTCTTTACAAGCATCGATCCATCCGATCTTCATGTCTCTTAGCAAACGCACACATTACACCTATCATTAAGTCCCAAAGAAGTGTACGCGTCCCAGCATGCAGAGAGTTGCATGCGGCTGTCAACTAAACTAACAAAGCCTGTTTATTGGTTGAACCCAGCTCATTCACAGTAAATAACCGTCTCCTCTTAATTAACTAACGGTGAGCTGCGGGAACCCCAGCGCCGGGTGCGGCGACAGGGGCGAGAGCAGCGGCATGCCACCCAGCAGCGCCTCCCAGTACTGCTCCCAGCCCGAGCTCGACGGCGTCGGAGGAAGCCCTCCCTCCGGCGTCGTGGCCGCCGACGTCACCGTCGAGGAGGCCGTCTCCCGCGACATGGACGAGGGCGTGTCCCACGACACCTGGGCCGACGACGGCGACGGCGCCTCGTTCTTGGGGGCCTTGTTTATGACCACTCCGGTCACCTCGACGTCGCGGTCGTCCTCGTGTGATCGCTTGCGTTTGTTCGTCGCGCCGGCGGTCTGGGACGCGGGTACGGGAGGCGGAGGCGCCCACAGCTCGGCGCCGCGGGTGCCGACCTCGTTTGGGAAGTTGAGAATGGCCTTGGCGCCGCGCATCCGGAAGGCGGCGCGGTCGTAGGCGCGCGCGGCCTCCACGGAGGTGTCGTAGGTGCCGAGCCACACGCGGGAGCCCCGGCGCTTGGGGTCGCGGATCTCCGCCGCGTACTTGCCCCAGGGGCGCTGCCGCACGCCGCGGTACTTGCGGAAGTCCTCCACCGGTGCTGGCGCCGGCGGTGCCGCGGCGGCAGCAGTCCCCGCCCACGCGAACGAGCCCTTGGCCGGCACGGAGATGCTCAGCGTGGACGACGGCGCCGTCACAGGAGACGGCTCGCCGCCGAACTGTATCATCACCGGCTCCGGCGCCCTGAACACAGTCTCAGGGACGTCGGCAGCCGGGCAGGAGTTCAGGTACTGGTGTGCCAGGTCCATGTAAGCTTGCATCTGCTGATTCTCCTGCTGCTGCTGCTGCTGCTGCGGGAAGAACATGGGCTGCTGCGTGTACGCTTGTGGTTCTGCCGCGGAAGGTGGCAGCACCGGGAAGGTGACGTCGTCGCAAAAGGGGCCCGCCTGATCATGGTTCGCCGTCGCCTGGACACCACCGTCGCCGCCGAGGAGGTGCTCGCGGATGAGGTCGAGAGCGAAGTCGTCGACTTCTCCGGCGAACTCCATGCCGGCACAGAGGGATGGCACGGCGTCACGGTGGAGAACTACTCGATGGTGGTGGCAGATATCTGCGAGCTTGTTTGTGAGTTCTGCTGCGGTGCTGTTCGATTTGTGGGGGTGTACGTACTTATAGGCCAGCTGAGGAAGGAGACGGGAAGGCCTATGTTCTCGGGCATTTCATTTCATTTGACCAACAGGATTACGCCCGCGGGACCCACTTTTAGGGCATCGGGGTCGTGCTCGATCTCGTCACTTTCCGCGGAGTGGAATGCCTTCATGTCGCGCCGCTGGACCGTGAGGCAGTACTAGCCAGGGATCGTGCACCCAGATGAGCTGAGATATCCTGTTCAAATTTGCTGCGCTGAGAATTTTCCTGAGTCGTGTCAATGAAGAACAGGGGCGCGCGTACGTCTATGACAAGAGCATCGACCATTCCGGTCACACTTTACGAGAAATTTAATAAGACGCGCAGGGGAGCCATTGGCTGCTGCCCATACCCAGACTTCGCCATGAAGGGCCGCGTGTGTCTCCCTCTTTTTATTCACACAGAAAACCGATCTAGTATACAATAGTATTATCATTCTTATACTACGCAGTGTCAGTATGACAGTATCGGCCAGCTTAACCCACCCACTGCACGTACTCGCTACTCAGAGATTGCAAGGAAATTGTTCACAACTAGCGATCGAAACGATGGAATGGGAAGACAGGTGCACATGCATGCAGATGATGTAGGTTACTAATCGTTCTAGGTGTTACGAGTTAATTGGCACGTACGATCCCATGCTGGCGACACGTACCCGTGGGTGAACGCACACCAGTACACGGTCCAGTACTACTACCGGCTCGTCTGTGGCGTTAAATGAAGGTTAGTCCTCTATGCCATTAGAGGATATACGTACATGGACTCGTTCTACTTGATACGTCGTTTCACAGTTACTTGATGAACGGGCCGACGCGGTTGCACAACAAGAGACATATACGTGTACAACTGGTGGTTTGTGAACCTTGGCTTCTCGACAGTTTAGGTATATAAGCTGCTAAGACCGATTCCGAACGTAACGCGTGTGAGCCAGATTTGACCTTGGCCCGTTCTTCTCCGGCCTAGCTAGCTGCATGTGCACTCGATGGTACTGTAGTATACGTACGGTTCTAATTATACTCGTACGCAAACCATTGGAATGTTTTCATACTATTTCAATACGGCTTCGAGTACTTCAGCTCTATGCATGGCTGGTTGACGATCTAGAACACGAAAAAAAATAGTTTGTAGTGCATTCATGTGCCAAGGATGAGTGTACACGTACAGCGGCATCGAGCAAGTGAGCAACCAAAGCATGCACGCATGCAGATGCAGGTCCCGCGAAGCTACCTCGCTTGTGTTGAAGTCTCTGTTTTGGGCTAAGATTCGCTCGGAAAGTCTATCCGTCGCAGTGATAAGGTAGTTGAAAACCTGGTTAGGTCATTGGTACAGAAAAGTATACAGATTCCATCAACCTGGCCCGTTTTGTTCGATTCTTCTCCTGCGTACGTGTGCATGCAGCGTTTGCGTCTAAATCCATCAACCTGTTACCATAATTTCTCAGATAAATCGAAACAATCTTATACGGCCGGATTCCACTGTCATGAGATAGCAAGCAACAGAGTTCAGACCAAAATCCGAGTGACTGCATCTTTGTCAATGTACTGGACATCCTAATTCTCGGGGTCTCTCGAAACAAACGAATTTTAGAATTCGGAGAACAAATTCATATACAAATTCTTTTTTTATCACACAATTACACCAAAAAAATTAAATAGAATTAAATATATAAAACTTCAGGTGGGGCTATGGGGGAGTCCTTAGACTACCCACACTGAGAGCAGCATAGATTGTAACATCACATCTATATAGATAAAATAGAAGATGTGACAAGTAAGTAATGAGAAAATAGATGTATTGAGTAACATAGCTACTCTTGGTACCTGAGTCACCGTGCAACTCAGGTACCCTCCTGTCACGTTGCGACGACATCACAGGGCTGGCTTGGTTTGTAGCTCGATTCTTTGGTTGCGGCATGGGATGGTCTCGTTGTTCTCCTATCTTCTGCATGTACTGTTTCGACAATGCTCTTCGCCCATATTGCTCCTTGCAGGATCGACATCCCTCATCCCGGAGCGAGAGGGCAGGTGGTCCTTTCCGACGATAGTTGGATGAGGGCTTTGCGGGAAGGTATGGTGGTTCGTCTAGAGACGCAAGGTAGCTCATTGTCGACGGACGGAGGGTGGATTGCTTGAGTCCGGCTACTCCTATACTCATGCTCGTCGGCGCAGTGTTGTGTTTTCGGTTACATGGTTTTTCTTGCGATTTGCTTTGTAAGAGGAATCCTCATCTCCATGTATCATTTGGCCATCGTTTCGTGTTACATGCATGGTCTACAAAATTTGTACGGTTGCGTTGTGCGTCCACACAAATCTTGTGAGTTCTATTTAAACCCTTCTCTGTTGGAATTTTAACTTTTATAGGATAAAATAATTGGTATAATTTTAGAGGGTGGGTATATGACATACCCGAATGAAATTTTGTAGTTTACATACTCCATCTCACCATGTTTTTAATACTTACCTTCTTATAATTTTGGTCTGCAATTTTTCATAAAAATAGTTTTTGTTAACTTAAACTGTCGCAAACACGAAGAGACGATGGAAAAGAGCTCACAGGCAACATCGGCATAACAAGATGGCCAAATTTGTATTCCTTCTTTTTTCGCGGGGATTTCCCCCCTCTTTTACTGGTTGATTAACACTAGTAATTGGCGATCTACAAGAAAGTGTGATCAAAGAGTGTCGAAGTATGTTGAACGAAACACACATATTCTGCTCACCCTCGAAATGACCGAAATCTCATCAAACTTTACTAGTTGTAGCTAGCAAAGACCGAAGGGGAAGACGGCGCAATTTGGTTAGGGAAGTGGATGTACGATCCAACCACCCCGGGTTCAAGTCCCCAGAAATGCGAATTTGGATTGCTATTCTTTCAAAAACAAACAAGGGGTTCCCTGTTGCATTCCTCTCGTAAAAAACATGTGGAAAGAAACGTCGGACGGTTGCATGTACATCCTGTTCACAGCCCTAGCTAGCATGCGCGCGGTTTCTGCAGCAAACAAACAAAATTGCACCCCTGTTCATGTTGGAACTCGCCTGCCAAGTCTGGCACGGCCCTGGGACTGCGAGGATAGACGTACGTAAGCCAGGCGACCGTCGAATTGACCCGCGTGTTGCCGCTAGTGCTGCATCAGCATGTACGCCACGCGATCGATCGAGCGTGTTCGACTTCGACCCGATCCTACGGACGAACGCCGCTCGCGCGCGGCTGCTTACCTCTGACGCTTCGTCTCCTCGTGCTTTCGTGCATGTGAGTACCAAGAAAGTCCTGCTGGACGAGACGATCTAGCTAGCATGCAGCTACGCAAGCGCAAGCGTGAAGCGGCGCATGCATCCGCCCATGGCGAGCCTGACATCAGGCGCGACCCCATCCTGCACGGCGTGATGCAATGCGCGTGTCAACCATGCCGGTAGTGTCGCCGGTGCTTCCGGAGCCAGCCAACATATACTGCATGCCGTGCACGCATCAAGTTGCAGAAATGCAGACCCGGTTTCGCTTTAATCGCCGGAGATCCAACACTTTTCTTTTAGGTAAATAAACAGCGGGACTCTACTGTGTATTTTTATTAATTTCCGGAGAACCATCACTTTTTCGGAAATCCATCACTCATGATGCGTCGTACAGCTTTGGAGGGTTTCCGCAACATTTCGTTCGAATTTTCCAGTATCTTGCACATTATCTACTTGGTAGCAACTCTGATCTTCACTGTCCTTTTCCCTGCAATAGTAAAAGATTACTGCCGCAGCCTTTCTGGTAACAAGCTTTATTTATAACTGAGCTCAAGTACCCATCGGCTTCAAGCTATCATTGTCTATCACCCCGCAAAAGAAAAACTATCATTGTCTATCACGCGAGAACTAAATTAAACAAAACTAGGATGTTCACTAGGCATGCGTGACCAGTGAACTCAATTGACAAGCGAAGATTGATAGAGAAAACATTGAAAGTTCTAGGGTAAAAAACAAACTAAAGAAAACCATATATGATCGCGACGGCATTCCTACGAGGAAAATGTATCTGTTCCGTTATATTGAGCGCAGATCCTCTAACTTAAGTCGTGTGACTTTGAGTCACTGAAATGTGGGCCCGCTTGTTAGTGGACGCGGTAATCAGGCCCCTCCAAGTTACCTGTTTAGGTCTACCTAGCGTAAGCATGAAGTACTATGCATGGTGTCCATGATGATGCACGTGTGACTCGATCGGTAGAGTAGTCCTACCGAGGACACACGTACACAATTGTGCGAACTGGATGACAAAGGTCCCAATTTGACATCAGAAACGTACGAGTCTCCTCCACGCCATTGGCGTGTGATGTAATCATATAAATGTGCGTGCCCACCGTTCTGCATTATCGATTATTGTTTTAGGGCTTGTTTTAGGCTTCATAGTTGCAGAAAAGAAAACAATACACTGTCGTGCATGCGTGAAGTAGGTAGGACATTGCAGAAAATGAACATTTCTAATTCTAATTAGCAAGCTTACGTGCAGCCTGCCAAGAGTTTCTACGAGACTAACAGTCTACCACAGTTCGTTCCAATCATATAGCTAGTCTCTTGAATATCATATTGCTACAAGTTACCGGCTTTGATGGATACAATGATGTTCACTGCCTTTTTTTCTCTTAGTAAAAGATAACTGCGGCAGCCATTCTGGTAAGAAAAGGAAAACCTTGCTTCGGAAGTGAGCTCAAGTTCCTTTCAGGTTAGATCGACAGACCTACGTGTGTGTGCACGTACGCAGGACCCGTGCGCCAACTTGACAGGCGATGGAAGATAGAGAAATACCCGAAGTTTCAGAGGCAAGAAATTATCAAAGAATACTCAAGGGTCGTGATCGGCGAATCCACGAGAGAGGTAGTTAG